TTTTTTGAGATACAGTGGATATAATTCGTGAGGGTAATGTGGATATTCTTGAGACAGTTGTACTTACCATAATCTCATTGTTACGCACATAATTCATGAGGAAGTTCAAGGCAATGATGATGAAATGCGATTTACAAATCAGGATTTGATTGCTTTATCTAGTCAAAAATGTGAGTGTAGTGGGAGTTCACATATTGGGACGAGTACACTGTCTTCTAATTGTTAGCGTGTGGTTTCCTATGATAAAGATTTACATGTCGATCAACTGTTTGACACGAAGAGAGATTTGTACGAAGCTATACACAGAAATGCAATGAAACATAACTTTGAATTTAAAGTAAAGAAATCAAACAAGTCTACATACACAATTATTTGTGTGGACAACAATTGCAGTTGGCTTTTTAGAGCGATGAAGATGGACACAAATGAGTTCTTTGTAGTTCACAAGTATACACGGGAACATACTTATGAAGTGGGTATTCATCAAAATGATCACAGGCAAGCTCGATTATGGTTTATTGGTCGACAGATAATGCACAAACTTCAAAATCCACATACGATTTACAGACCTATAGATATCATCAACGACATCCGCCGAGAGTATGAGGTGGTCATGAATTACTAGAAGGTCTGGAAAGCTGAAGAGTGTGCCAATGATGATTTATTGGGTTCGACGGAGGATAGTTATGCAAAATTGGTAAGGTATTGCCATAGCATGGGGAGAACTAATCTTGACTCGATATTTTTTATTTAGACTGATGATGAGAATTGTTTCAAGTATTTCTTTATGACTCTTGGACAATACATACGAAGATTTCGAAATGCGATGTAACTCCTAATTCTAGTCGATGGTACAACCTTGAAAGCTAGATACAAAAGGAAGTTGATAATTGCTACATGTTTAGATATCAACATCCAAATTTACATTTGACATAGTTGATGGCGAGAATGATCTAGCGATGCGTTAGTTCTTCACGAAATTGAATGAAATAATTGGGGACATCGAGAACCTTGCATTTGTGATTTACTGGGGCAGTCAGTAATAAATGGTATAGTTGAAGTTTTCTCGAGCACATCGTGGTTATTATATGTACCATATACAGGGCAACCTGAAAACTAAGTATCGGGGAAGTAATATCATTGCATTGTTTAGGAGAGCTACAAAGGCTTACAGTTTCAAAGAGTTTGATAAGTCCATGGTCCAAATAGAAAATAAATCACACAATACATGGGATTATCTAACAGAAATGGGGGTCGAACATGGGACACTATTACATTTTTCAGGACATCGATACAACGTGATTACGTTGAACAATGCGGAGTTGCTCAATGCATTATTCAAAAAGGATCGAGAGTTACCAATTCTCGCGATGATTAAGCACATTTCTAACAAACTGCAACAGTAGTTTTATGACTAACGTGAGGAATCACAAAATTGCATAAGTATGCTAACCCCGGCTTAGGAAGATAAACTCTTCATAACTCTGGAAGTGGTGAGAAAGCTAAGCATGGAACCACTGGATCAATTTCGCCTTTCCGTGAAATGCAGACGTAATATCGGATACATCGTGGACTTGAATGATAACACATGCACGTGTAGAAAGTATCAGTTGGAAAGGTTTCCGTGTACGCATGCAGTGGCTATAAATTGAGGAATTCTGCCATGGAGTAGTTTTGCTTCTCCGTGAGATGTGATTGTAATATCGGATACATCGTGGACTTGAATGATAATACTTGCATGCGTAGACAATTTCACTTAGAGAGTTTTCCATGTGCGCATGTAGTGGCAGTGGCTATGTTCAGAGGATTCCTACCACACAGCTTATGCGCTCATTATTATATGGTTGATTATTGAAAAATAATATATGCCAAAACTATATTTCCTCTACCAAATAAAGTCGAGTGGGAAGTTCCCGACCACATTCTCCCACTTAATAATTTGTTACCACTCGAAATTCGATCGCGTACTCTTGGGCGTAAACGTACATCTAGAATACCATCTATCGAATAATTTTTTCCACCGCGTAGATGCAGAAGGTGCAGCACAACATGTCACACTCGCCATTTTGTACAAGTCAAATCCCACTACGTAATAATCTGAGGGATGTGTAATATCTATTTAAATAATACGTAATCTCTATTCACAGTACATTATTTATTTACGCGACATTTCGATCATCGTGCTTTATTATTCATCAACTATGAAAAAGTTACAATTAGGTCCCCATACTTTGATGTTCTATTTATTTTGGATTAAATATACAATTACATTAAAAATAGTCACCATTAAATATTTTAAAGCCATTTTCTAGCTAATTAGAAAATTGCGATTAAACTTAGAAGAAAAAATTGTGGTCAATAATAATTAAAGTTATGATACGAAGTCTCGCGACCTTTTCTAACATTTGGTGTGTGTTTGTCAGAAATTATAATTGATTATAAGCAATAATACATATGAATGAAGAGTATGTAGAAGTTGTGAATTTTAGAAAATGGATGACACAAAAATATTTATATTAAACTATAAAATTTTGGCAATTGAGCATTTTCGACATGTTAAACTTTATAGTTTTAAATTCGTAGTATATTTTCTTTTTGTTTTAATTATATATGAAAATTTTTCGTTTCAAGTTGATGAATTAACATTATCAATCAAATCCCAAGATTTATGAAATAGTGTTAAATTTTCTCTTAGATTAGATAATAAAGTTTTTTGTGACACTTCAAGTCTATTTTTTTTTAAAGAAAAGAAAGAGATCCTCACACGTGACATCATCGTCAAGTCGAGGTTCCATTTACTAAATACCCGAAAATTTTGAGTTTGGTTCGATTCTTTTTAGAACCGAATCGAACTAAACCATGCCACCCGCTAAATAGTACAACCTTTTGTCATTCACATATTAGAAGGCAAGAATATTGAATGCTCAAAATACTGTGCAACGGTCCGAAAAATGAATAAAATGAGGTTAAAATAGGTATCAAACAAGGGTAAAAGTTGGGAACATCATTCCAAATTTACACTAAAATAAACTTTTAAACCTTTTGGGGTTGTTCGCAACTTGAATTTAGCCGTTGTTTGGTACCAATTAAAATCTAAATTTTTATTTAGGGTAACTAGCACATAACGTCCCCACATTTCACTGTTGTTGTGAAAAAGGTCATTATTTTTCCTTTTTTTGGCATTTTCATCTTTATTTCCATCTTTCATTGTACAAAAAGTTATTTTCATCCATTTTCTCAATTAAAAATTGTGAAATGACAAATATACCAATTTCTTGAAATAAAAAGAAAAAGAAAAACTAATTGAAACTATAGTCTCAAATTCTTCTAAAAAGCGCAAATGAGTCTTCAAATAAATTATTAAAATGATAATTAGCACGTAGCCCCTATTTGACATACATTCTTTCAAGATATATTCTTTCAAAACTCATCTTCAATCACACATTTTTCAATAAAATAATATTTTCCATCACATCATTTTTTTTATAACTTTTCCTTACTTTTTAACCACATATTTCTTATCATATCACTATTTAAAATACATTTTTTTCTCAATAATATCCATCAAACAACCCCATAAGGTCCCCATCTTTCACTTCGATAGCGAAAAACGTCCATACATTTTATTTTTTTGGCCTTTTTAACCCATAATTTCACATTTGATTGTGCAAATCATCATTTTTATTCATTTTTATCTAATTTTTCAATAAAAAGATGTGAAATGGTGAATATACCCTCCTATTTAAAAAAAAGGACATTACTTTTTAAAATTTCTAATTTTATAAATAATTTATTTGGGATTTGTTTGTATTTTTTAATTTTGTTAATAAATTTAATTCGGACTCGTTTGCACTTCTCTTAATAAAAACTAATTTTTAATAATTTATTTGGGTCTCATTTGCACTTTTTTTTAAAAAAAAAATAATTTCTAACTTTTTAATAATTTATTTGGGACTCGTTTGCTCTTTTTTAAAAAAATTGAAACTATAGTTGCAATTAATTCTTTAACTTTTTTATTTAAATATGATGATATATTCATCATTTCACAGCTCTTTATTAAGAAATTGAATGAAAATGGATAGAAATGATGTTTTGCGCAATTAAATGTGTAATTAATGGTGAAAATGTAAAAAAAAAAAGATATGGACTTTTTTGCAACAATAGTGAAAGGTAGAGATATTATGTGCTAATTATCATTTTAATAATTTATTTGGGACTCATTTGCACTTTAAAAAAAATTAGGATTATGATTGCAATTAATTTTTTTATTTTTGTTTTATTTAAAAATAAAGGTGTATTCGTCATTTCATAATTTTTAATTGATAAAATGTATGAAAATGACCTTTTACGTAATGAAATGTGAAAATAAGGATGAAAATGCTAAAAAAATAAAAAATAAGGATGTTTTCTACAAAAGTAATGAAAGATTTTAATTTAAGTCAAAATCAATCATTAATTTTAATAACATATTTTATGAGTTTCACAACTTTTCAACCACACATTTTTTCAATTTTTATAAAAATTTATTAAAAATTTAATTTTAACCCCCACCAAACAAGGGCTTAATGAATTTTCAAATAGTAGTCTGGGTTCTTGAACTCAAAAGAGATTTGCATAAATCTCATTAAAAATTGTGAAATTTTAAAAGATTTTATTGTATGTATTTTTAAGTTTGAAATCCATTCAAATTAATTAAAATTTCTTTGTCAATGAAAAATCCTTATCAATCTACGATTCATTTGGAAAGATTTAAATTTTAATGCAATTCATTAAAAATCTCACGTAGAAACACCTCGATTGATTAACAAGTTAGACGACAGCCGAAAATATGCCGTGGACAAAACTCAGGCAATCAAATCCACAGAATCAAATCCACAGAGACTGAGGCAAACAACCCTGTCTAGTTTCTTTTTACTTTTCTAAATCTTATATATCTCACTTCCCCATTTTTTTCTTCAACACAATACATATCCAATCTCTGCAATAAAGCAAAAAAAAAAATGGGGTCTAATTCAGCCTCTGAACCTCTGATTCATCTCTTACTGGTCTCATTTCCTGGCCAAGGACATGTAAATCCGCTGCTTCGGCTCGGCAAACGCCTTGCTTCAAAGGGCCTTCTTGTTACTTTTTCTGCGCCTGAATTCATCGGCAAAGACATGCGAAAAGCCAATAACATCAGCGATGAACCCACCCCAGTTGGTAATGGAATTATCAGATTCGAGTTCTTTGGTGATGGATTGGCAGATGATGATCCTATACACTATGATCTCGATACGTACTTGCCGATTCTTGAGCTCGTTGGCAAAGAAAAAATTCTAAGTATGATAAAGAAACAGGCCGAAAAAGGAATTCCAGTTTCTTGTTTGATCAACAATCCATTTATTCCATGGGTTTCTGATGTGGCTGAGAGTGTTGGAATTCCCAGTGCAATGCTTTGGGTTCAATCTTGTGCGTGTTTTACTATTTATTACCATTATTATCACAATATAACTCCTTTCCCTAGTGAAAATGAACCAGAAATTGATGTTCATTTGCCGTGTATGCCTCTGTTGAAATATGATGAAGTGCCCAGTTTCTTATATCCTACCACTCCCTACCCTTTTCTTAGAAGGGCAATTGTAGGACAGTACAAAAACCTTTCGAAACCCTTCTGCGTATTAATGGACACTTTTCAAGAACTTGAACAAGAAATCATTGATTACATGTCCAATATTTGCCCCATAAAGACTATTGGTCCCCTTTTCAAAGACCCTAAAACTTCAGTCGCGAATGTTCGTGGTGACTTCATTGCCGCCGATAATTGTCTTGACTGGCTTGACTCCAAACCGCCGTCTTCCGTTGTGTACATTTCGTTTGGCAGTGTTGTTAAATTGAAACAAGAACAAATTGATGAAATGGCATATGGGATTTTAAATTCAAAAGTTCCATTTTTGTGGGTCATGAAGCCGCCGCCGGAAGAATTAGGCCTCCCTGGAGTCTATTTGCCGGAAAAGTTTTTGGAAAAAGCTGGTGATAGAGGTAACCATCTTATTTACAGGGTTTTGCTATTTATTCATCGACGTTGATAGCTCTCTCACATTAGGAAGGGTCCATGCTCAATAAAAAAAAAATTGTCGACCCCCTATGGTGAGGTGCTGTACACACTTAACAAAACCCCTTATCTATAACCTCGAAGTCGGATGCAGGGAAATCTAGTATTTTCGTTTCAGACGTGTAAAGTCACAGGAAATTCTCTAAGTCATCAGATAATTCGCCATCGAATTGTTAAACCCAGATATTTTGTGAACTTTTATACAGCCTTATATTCGTAGGAAAAAATAATCTAGTATTTATTTAAATTTTGTCTTGACCAGGCAAGATAGTTCAGTGGAGTCCACAAGTTCAGGTCTTGAACCACCCATCTGTCGCCTGTTTCGTGAGCCACTGCGGATGGAACTCGACAATGGAGGCGCTCACTAGCGGTGTTCCGGTGGTGGCGTTTCCACAATGGGGTGATCAAGTAACGGATGCAAAATTCTTAGTAGATGTGTTCGAAGTTGGGATTAGAATGTGCAGAGGTGAAGCTGAGAACAGAATAATTCCTCGAGAGGATGTTGAGAAATGTTTGCGTGAAGCCACAAGCGGTCCGACGGCGGAGGAAATGAAAAACAATGCACGCAAGTGGAAGAAAGCTGCGGAGGCGGCGGTGGGACCCGGTGGGTCCTCCGACAAGAATATGCAAGACTTTGTGGACGAGATTGTCAGGATTGGATCTCGTCCACAGAACAATAATTTGTAGGTGGCATCAAAACTAGAGACGTAAGCCAAGTAAGTGGCACGAATTTGAAATAATAATAAGAATGTGGGGGCAGGACTGAGTGTATTTTTGTGATAATTTTAGAAATATTTTTTCACTTTAAAAAAATGATAATTCTTGTCGTACATAATACCCCTTAAAAAACTTATACAAATTTCTTTTATATTAAATTATAAAAGAAACATCTTAGATTCACGATTATGAACATTTCTAACCTAAAAGAAGGAAAGCTTTAAAACTTCCAATTCCGAAGGTCCATTATATAAATAAAATATCATTATAATAAAAGGTCGATGATCCAAGTTCACATTTCATTTGAAAGGAAAGCAAAATAAAAATAAATAAAAAAAAACATTGAAAAATGAACTTTAACCATAAATTTTGGTGGAAGCTATTTATTGGTCGATTTTTGTGAACATGCTCGTCACAAGATGAATTTACGAAAGCCTTGCAGCCGCAGATACCAATGAACTTATGACAGATAAAGATAACTGAGAAAAAAACTTGAAACAGATATTATCCAAAAGGAATAATTCCAGTTGATTTAATCGAATTTAATACATACTAGAATACAATCATAATTCGAATCCCTGTAGATCAGAATCTCTGATATTAAGCTATGATTTGGTGGCCATTAATTTAAAGATTTTGCTATTTGTACGTTCTTTAAAAAATACTATTCAAAATATAGTTTAAATGCCACCAAACAGGAACCAAATTATAAGTTACTTTTAGGTACGTGTAGGGATGTCAATTCGAACTGTTAAAATCGAAAATCACGGTTAACCGAATCGATTGAGGCAAAAAAATCGAACCGATTGTGCAATGGGGTGGTTATGATTTTGATTTTAATGGCCCGGTTTGGGGTGTGCGGGTATGGTATTTAGCGACGGTGCCCTATCCTGAACCAATTACCCGTTAAAAAATTAATTGGTTTATTGGACTTTCCATTATTCTTTCCCAAAATTAATTGGGCAATTTTGACAATTAGGCTTGCCCGAAATTCTGGTCCAATTAACATTACTAGTAAACCATTTGACGAAAATGTACATTTTTTTGTTTAAATCCTCAGTTAAGTCCATTCTTGATTTCGTAGTATGGTTGTATTACTACTCTAATTACATTTCTTATCACTATATAAGAATCAACTTTGAGTCTTGACTCTTAACCTATGTTAGTAAGAATTGTGAAGAAGAAAGAAGATTTACTTATGCTAGTAAGAGTCTTGACTTATGCTGATAATACTATTTGTTAAATTAAAATTTTGAATTTGGAAGTTGGGATATTGTTTGCATACTTACGGGGTTATGGTGCAGTTATGGTATGGCCAAAAATTTGATGGGGCAGTTATGATTTTGGCCGAACCGACCTCGAACCGAACTGAACCGTTGCCATCCCTAGGCACGTGACTAGAAATCGTAAGCAAAAAGACTTCGAAACACAAATTTCGAGAATAAGGTGAGAAAAAAAAATGTTTGGCTTAGGTTTATAAACATTAAGTTTCTTTTGATTAATACAATTCGAGGAATTCACAAATAATATAAATTCCCCTGCCACTCAATCATTTTTAATTAATTATATTCATTTAATTTTTTTGGTGAATGATTTTTATTAGATAGTATGTTGCATGAAGATGGAACTTATCATTTACATTTAATGAGACTAATTGTTTTGATTTAGTTGTCGGCATTAACTTTTGATGATATAACTTTATACTGTAATTTTATTAATGATTTTGAAATTTTGATTGTGAAAGCGAACTATTTGGTTCCATAATTACAGATGGAACTCGTGATTTCATTGTAAGTTAATCATCGATTTTCAGTTAATTGAACCATGCTCACAATTAAAATTTTAAATTTACAAAACAGACCATTTTTTTCAATAAAATAATATTACACGTAAATTCAAAACTTATTTTTATTTTTTAATCACACATTCTCCATCAATCTACTATTTCAAAATGCATGATTAGCCAACATGTGGCTTAGACAGGCTCCAGATGTACTAATTCCTTAAATATCATGTTTTAGTGTTAAGCCCCTGTTTGGTGAGGATCAAAATCAAATTTTTAGTAAATTTTGATAAAAGATGATGATATGTATGTTTGAAAAGTTGTGGATCACATAAAATGTGTTGTTAAAATTAACTTTTAATTTTAGCATAAATTAAAATCCGAATTTTAATTTTTACTAAACAGGGTCCATGTTTGGTGGGTATTAAAATCAAAGTTTTAGTAGATTTTGATACAAGTTGATGAAATGTGTGATTGAAAAATTGTGAGACCCATCAAATATGTCGATAAAACTAATCGTTGACTTTAATTTAGGTTAAAATCTAGATTTTAGTTCTTATCCAACATAGGCTAAATGTGTAAATTCCTCATAGAGTGGAGTGTAGCTATGTCTACGTTCAGTCTATCTTTAACTTGGGCTAATTTTATTACCTAATTTCGGCCACTTCATACGCAAGTTTTCTGCTCTAAAGAGTGAGTCGAATTCACAGGTTTCAACTCATCCAACACGACCCGACCCGACTAGACTCGACCTGGATGAACCTCCCTTTTCCTTGGTTTTTTTCATAGCCTTTACAATTTTATTTACCTATTTATAGTTTAAAATGTTTATAAATACTTCCTAATGGTCTTAAAACAACAAAATTTGTTGAATTTTAGTTTTACTAAATAAGGCAATTGGTCAAGCTACTACGCATCTCACACGCCGGTAATGCCGCTCTTTCTGCTTCGCACTGTAATCTTAAGCTTAATAATGTTCTTTGTACCTAATCTTTGCCATCGTTTGAACCCCTTTTTTTAAAAAAAAAATACATTCTTGAATAATGTCTTGATCTCATTCCCATCATACATTTTTCAATAAAATAATATCTGATTTTAAAATAATAAACATTGTTTCTTAATTTTGAAATGAGAACGAAATTTTGCATATATAGATTTAGGAATAGGACGAAGTTGGGCCAACAATACGTAAATGTGCATTCAACAAATGAAACGGTACATAAGTGAACTTAATTATTTAAGGACAACTTACAATAATGTCCTTAAAATTGAAAGTCTTTTGAAAAATCGCATGAAAAGTATTTGAAAGTAAAAATACTTTGTAAAATTAATTATCATTTTTAAATATAAAAAGTAACGCACTGTCACTTTTTTATTAAAACATACAATGTCAATTTTATTAAAATGTGATGTTTGTCACTCAAAAAAGTAACGAAAATTTCAAGAAAGTAAAAAAAAATTAGTACGAAATTAAATATCACTTAAAAAGTGACTTTTTATTACACTTTTATTAAAAAGTAATGTTTGTCACTCAAAAAAATAACAAATATTTCAAAAAAGTGATAAAAAAAAAAAATGACACACACTAAAAAAGTGGCAGAAATTCAAAAAAATTGACACTAAAAAATTGATAAAATTCAAAAAGTGGCAAACACTAAAAGAAGTGAAAAAAATTCAAAAAAAATGATAAAAACTGAAAAAAGAGACTAAAATTAAAAAAATCGATAAACAATAAAAATGTGATAAAAATTTTAAAAAGTGACAAAACACACCAATTAAAATATTGGAATATATTCAATAAAATGACAGATATTAAAGAAAATAACAATTTTAAAAAAAGTGACAAATTCTCAAAAAAACTAACCGACATTAAAAAAAGTGATAAAAATTCAAAAAGTGTCCCCCATTTAAAACATTGAAATTAGTGCAATGAAATGACATAAATAATAATAAAAAAAGATAATTACAAATCAAAACGACAAACATCTTTAAGTTAATTCACCATCACTATCATCTACTAACTCGGCCAACATATTGACCTCCACGAACCTTGTTAGTGAATTTTTGTTGCGAGACCACTTCCTTATTATATAAAAATATCCCATTAGCAAAAATTCCAGCAGCAGGAGATAAGCGACTATTGGGTTTTCCATAAAACTGCATTTCTTCATTCTTATCACCGGTATTACATTCAAACAATGGACTCTTTTTTTTTACCATACTAATTATTTCAAGTCTTTTTTACATATTCTTTACTCTTTTTAGGTGAGTTTTCACCAAACCCTTTAAGAGACGTTAGAATAAATCACCTGATAGCAACGGATAGGAGCAACTGAATGGTGCACCAGTACACTTCCTTATTTTCAGGAATGGAGAAGGAATTTGTTAGCTAGATAGTACAATCTGTTTTGCATTGCTGTTAGCTCAATTCTAGAACTTTCCTAGCTACCAAGACTTGTATATATTCATGTAATATTATTGATTAATTATTGAGCAAATTCAGCATCATATCCTTCTAAAATTTCTAATTTGGTATCAGAGCCAACAATGGCCAATACTAGATCCGGAAACCAATCTGAGTTCAACACTACATCAACCTCTCAGTTCGCTGCCGGCCAGAATCCTTCGTTTGGGATGACTATTACACAAACACCTGCAGTCAAGCTTGACAGGAACAATTTCCTTTTATAGAAAAGCATGATAATGCCCATAATTAAAGGGCACAATCTTGAAGGATACCTAATGGGGACAAGGGAGTGTCCACTTGAATTTCTAGCCACTCAAACAATCGTTGGTCAGGGAGAGGCCATTGAAATGACTAAAAATCCTGAGTTCGTTAAGTGGGGTTCAAATGATCAATTCCTCATGGGCTGGTTGTATTCATCCATGACACCGGAGATAACCATGAAGGTAGTGGGCTATGCAAGCTCGAACAAACTCTAGATAGCTGTAGAGGAAAGCTTTGGGATATTAAACAGATCACAAGTGATGTTTCTCGTGAGTGAACTGCAAAGAATCATAAAAGGATCCATGACAATGGATCAATACCTAACTGCCATCAAACAATTGGCAGATAATTTGGAGATAGCTGGAAAAAAATTGATCAAGGAGATCTGATTACACAGGTTCTATCAGGACTTGACGAGGAATAGACACCTATTGTAGTTCAGATAAATAGCAGGGAGAC